GCCGGGGGCTCCCCCAGCGTCCGCCCGGCCCCTCGCGGCGGCTCCGGCAGCAAGCGCCTCCTCGCCATCCTGGCGCTGGGTTTCCTGCTCGCCTTCATCGTGGGTAAGAATACACTTTGGCATTTTTGCAAGCGTCGTGGCATTTGACCTTAAAATTAAATTGCAGATTTATTATTTTTTTTCATCAAACATAAGCTGCTATTCATTTTTCAAAGAGATTTTCTTTACAGTGTGAAAATAAATGTACATACTTAATTTGTAGTGTTTTGACATGTTCATGTTCCGATGTCACACGCGACACGCTGCTGACAAGAGGGTGTTTCCCCCCCGCAGGCTACTTTGTTGGGAACCTCACCTCGAAGAAGCCTGACGTGGAGCCTGCCAGCTGTTCGACTCAGTCGGCACTGACTGAGGGTGCAGCAGAGCAAGGGAAGCAAGAACAGGAACAGGAACAGGATGACGACGAGATGATAACGCATGATGAAACCCCACGCAGCTGGAACGCCATCAGCCAGCTTCTCGACGACAAACTCACCGGCCCCGCTTTCGACAAGCGTCTCAAGTAAACCTTTCGCCAGTCTGCCTTACAAAGCACAGTCGCTACTGTAGTTGGGTGGCTTTAGCATTCCGTCACAACTAAAACCAAAAGGAGCTGCACTAAAAAAAAAAAAAAAAAAAAAAAAAGTCAAGACTTTTTCAGTGATGTCTGGCTTTTTTTTTTTTCTCAAAAGCTTTTCATATCTCAAGAAATGTGATGTGATCAGAAAACACCACCTCCAAATGGCGAAAAAAAATATTGGAATAACTCCATGCAAGAAAACACTTCACTATTATTTTTTTCCCCGTCCTACTAAACGGTGTTTTACGAGCTTCCGCACAGCAATTTGACACTTGGAAACACACGTTCACAGAATGTCAGCAGACAGTCAGATGACCGATTAAACAAGCCCGTTTGGTTCTACATTCCGTCTGGCCAAACTCGATAATGTCAATCCTCTTTCCACTTTCCTATCGAACCGAATGAGATCATGTTTGAATGAAGGGGGGAGGGAAATGGCTAAAATGAAATCTCTCCTCAGGACCTTCGATGTGCCGTCACGCTCGGCGGGCAGCGAGGGCGACGTCCAACTGGCTAACATGATCTCCGACGAATTCAAGGCTCTCAACCTGGAGAGCTGGGTGGACGTGCACTACGTTCAGCTGCAGAAGCCCGACAGGTTGCTAGTTTTAATGCTGCCGTTTTCACCTCCCGTATATTATTTTGTGCTCACTATCTTTATTTTGTCACGGGCAGCAAGCGTCCCAACGTGGTCACTTTCGGCGCAAACGTCTTCAAACCGACCGGCTATCTCGCCTACAGCGCCACCGGGAAGGCCGAGGTGAGCGGCGGCAGGCCATTCGCCAAGATTTACACGAGGATTGTAAATGCCTAAACACGAGTACGTATACTGTCTGTTTGTCAGGGCAAGCTGGTGTACGCCGCCTATGGCCGCCGTGAGGATTTTGACGCCGTGAAGAAGGAAAACGTGGAAGTGAAAGGCAGCGTGGTGCTGCTCAAAGCGGGACAACACAGCTTTGCCGAGCAGGTGAAGGGCAACCTTCATGTATTAAATGAATCGTTAGACTTTTGCGATTGAGCTACTGAGAATTTTTTTTTCACCATACTACATTTACTGAGATGCACATTCCCGTCTTTTCATGTCTTCAGGTGGCTAATGCCGAGGCCGCAGGAGCCATCGCCGTCCTCATCTACCCCGACGTGGAAGATTTCAGCTTCAACGCCGACACGGCACTTTACGGCCACGTGGGTGTCACCGGCGAGCTATCCGGTTTCACATTAGGTGTCGCGACTCACTCTGCGTCCGCTTCCCTTCGTTCAGGTCCATCTTGCCTCAGGCGACCCCTACACACCGGGGTTCCCCTCCTTGAACCACACCCAGTTCCCGCCCACCCGCTCGTCGGCCCTCCCCGGCATCCTGGCTCAGACCATCACGCTCAACATGGCGAAAACCCTCCGAGAGTAAGCCCAGCAAGTCACTTTGTTGCTTTAGATCAAGGCGCGAGCCGTATATTGAAACGGTACCTCTTTGTGCAGGCGAATCGGCGGCCCAAAGCAGATGGGCGGTGTGGAGATGATCAGCGTGGAGGTCAATAACGTGCTGGTCAACACGGAGATCCACAATGTGTTTGGTGTCATCGAAGGATTCGTCGATTCCGGTATGCGTACACACCTGTGGTGACCAAAAAAAAATAATAATTGGGGGTCACATGGAAGTCATGAATTGTGCGTTTGTGTGCGGCAGACCAGTATGTGGTCCTGGGAGCGCAGAGGGACGCGTGGGGTAAAGGCTACGCCCGCGCTGCCGTCGGCTCCTCCGTTCTCATGGAACTGGCCAAGGCCTTTAAAGACTTGGTGGAGAGAGGTAAAAACTATTTCCTATTACGTGAAACAGTTTTTAAACCCCTGCCAACTGTGGAATTATACCATTGGGACAAATTCGTTTTCTGATTTACGTGAAATGTCGCATTACAGATGGTGTCCGGCCCAGGAGAAGCCTGGTGTTTGCGAGCTGGAGTGCCGGAGAATACGGAAGCGTTGGGGCCACGGAATTTTTGGAGGTGAGCGCCAATGGAAAATGCTTTTGGAGAAAATGTGTTTTAGAACAAACAACAAAAAATAATCTGTGTGTTTTCAGGGTTATCTGTCATCCATCGACAGAAAGCTTGTCACTTACATAAACCTGGATGGGGTGGTCATGGGTACGTATGAAGTGAAAGCGCGTAGAATTAGTGCCGAGGGTTGGCTGTTAACCGCACGTGTCGTCTCTCAAGGTCGCGGTGGCTTTGTTGCCTCTGGCAGCCCGCTGCTGTACAGCCTGCTGGAAGACACGATGAAACAGGTAACGGCGCCACTTCACTCGTCACTAAATGAGACATTATGCACCTCCACGCACGCCATTTAAAAAAAAAACATTTCACTCCCAGGTGAAGAGTCCGCTCAATACCGGCACCGTATACGATATGGCAGGAAAGACAAAATGGGAGGCCAATGTGTAAGTTCACACAGCCCGACGTCGGTATGAGGGATTGTCCAGTAAGAAATATGTGACTGTTTTTTTATTTTTGTAGCCTGAGGCCCATGTCCATAGACGACCCGGCGTATCCCTTCTTGACCACTGCTGGCATCCCCTCCATCTCCTTCCATTTCATCACCCCCAAGGTGAGTCGGCAAGACCACGTTTCCTTTTTTTGACACGACGATCACATTTGTTTTTTTTTCGTGGCTGAAGGCGGAGACTTACACTTACTACGGCACCTCAATGGACAACATGGACCACCTCAACTACAACACGGCCCATCAGACCGGCGAAATGACTGCACGGGCTGCGCAGTTGGCCGGCCGCATGGCCCTCCGCCTGACCCACAACCACCTGCTCAGTTTGGACGTGAGCAGGTACCGCAAGGACCTCTCCAAAGCTGTCAACCTGCTCTACGTTCACGTCCGAAACCTCGTCCAGGTGAGGCCATTTATGCGATTCAGAATGTGCGCAACTGTTGTCACGGAAACGGCAAGCTGCTTAGAAATGACCTTGACTTTTACGTGGCTATTGTGTTGTGCAGAGCGGTGAGCTGGCGGACGTGGACCCCGATTGGCTGAGCAGCGCATTGGGTTCCTTCACGCGAGCGATGGCCAACTTGAACACATTTATCAAGAACACCGACATGACCGAAGAGCGCGGCTGTCGTCGTGCCAACGAGAAGCTCATGAGCGTAAGATGGACCGCCCCCTTTATTTCTTTGAATTACATTTCGATGCTACAAGATGGCCGTCCGTCAATCGGGCACGGCTTGTTGCCTGATTAAATGAATCTCCTTCCCTCACTTCAAAATAGTTCACTAACTACCAGGCGGCGCCAAAGCAATATTTAAATTAGACTTGGTCTTTGTAACCCCAAAATTCTGTAGAGAAAAAAAAAAATCTCATCCTCACCTATGGCCATCTTAGGGTGTTCTTTCCCATTCTTTACCAGGTGGAACGCAACCTCCTCTCGCCGTACGTGTCCCCCGTGGAGACCCCCTTCCGCCACCTCCTGCTGGGCCGGGGCAAGCACACGCTGGGGGCGCTGGCTCAGACCACGGAGCCCCGGGAGCTCCACACCCAGCTGGCCTTGGCCACCTGGAACCTGAAGATGTGCGCCAACGCCGTGGTCAATGACATCTGGCAAAACAACAATCAAGTTTAGAGCGTGTGTGAGCGGAAAGAGCAGTAAGGGAAAAGCAATTTCAGGGGGGTGGGGGGGGGTGCACTTCAAAGGCTGTCATTCACAGTTCTCAGTCCTGCCCTTTTCTTTTATCAAGGTATAACTTCAATTTGACACTCCTAATCAAATGGTCAGAATGAAGGAAACACTGTTTTGGTGATTAAGTCTACCCCTTAGCAGGCCTTTTTTTTTGGGGGGGGGGGGGGGTCCACATCCCATCCTGATACTTGAAAACCTTGAATGCTACTGACAACCCCCACTTTATTGCCATCCAAACACTGAGGACCTTATTTAATGCTTTTTTTTATGACATTATCGGAAGCAGTGCCTTCCATAATTATGACGGTTATACTGTCTCATCTGATAGCAGTATCTGCTTGGTGAACTCGAAACTCAACTGTTGGCGCCGAATCGGAGGCAGCCAAGAAGCTTTCAAAAAGTCTGAATTAACTAAAGCGGATACAATTCGAAGAAGGAAAAAAAAAACATTGAGGAAAAAAAGGGGCAATCAAATAGAGCCGCAAACTAATTAAAAAGCAGGAAAAACTCAAATTAATTCAAGTGGACAAAACGCTCTTGTAGATCAAATTTATAAACAAAATAAGGCTTGGTTAAATGAAAAAAAAAAGACCATCAATATGATCACAGCAAGAAAACCCCTCAAAAATGGAACATATGAAGTAAAGCAGACAAAAGTGCTCATTGAGGGGGAAATTGACGAGCAATTTGGGGCGTTTTTGTCCATTTTTGGAGCAGTTGGCGAGTTATCGGGGGCAGTGTCTCCCATAATCAAATCTATTATCGGGGGCAGTGTCTCCCATAATAACAAGTGACGGTAGTTTTTATCTACCAGTGTATGTGCGCGTGTTTGTGTGTGGGTGCGTGCGCGGTTTGTCTTTTTTTTTACATGTGTATTTATCGGGAGCAGCGCCTCTCATATTTCACTCCAAAGGTGGAACGACTTATCGGGGACAGTGTTTCCCAGAGTTTTATACGTATTTATGACGGTTTTGCTTTGTGGTAGTTACTTCTTTCTCACTGAATTTCCTCTTAGCAAGGAGCAAAATGTCTACTATCTTTCACGCCTGGTGCAAAAATGTTTTTTCTTCTGTATTAGAATTATCGGCTTTTCGTCCATTCTGACTGAGGTGTTGTGCAACAACAATCTTTAAGATGACAAATTAATGTCTAAGTAAGATTTCCGTCTGGTTCTTTTCTGTTATGTGGCAATTTTTGGCATCTAGATTTAACATTGGTTTGTCCACAAATGGATCTGTCCTATGTGCAGCTCTGGGGGAAATTTGAGACCCTTCCAAAAAAAACCCATGACCTTTTTTTTTTTGTTTGCAACTAAAATGTTTAAATGACAACAGTTGTAATGGAAATTGAGGGGTTATGTTGTTTAGAGAGAAAACAAATGTTACACAAAATAAAATCAGAGGAACCTTGCAGTGATAGTTTCCCCCTATTGCTATTTAGCAACAGTGCCAGCGATAATGCATAAATGTAAACATTATCTCCAGAAAATTGTATTGTTACACAAGTTCACTTGTTTCATCGGAAAAAAACATCCCATCACTTTACATCAATTTGTTAGATTTGGGAGGGGGATTTCTGGCACTTGATTGTGAAAAAAAGTTTTTCATGTTTTGTCAAAAAGAAAAAATATCTTGCCTCAACTGAATTAATGTTGGATTCGGGTTTTCTGTCCTCTGATTAAATGTTCGTCGCAGATTAAATCAAAATCCTGAGCTTTGCATCAAGTTGATATTTGTCGTCTTTATTAATCAATCCGTGTTTTACATGAAAGTATGTTCTTGTATGTTTCTTTCGTTTGTTAGCAATTTGTCGCTCAGTCTTTTTGACATTCCCGGGTGGTTTTGCGCCGCGGATGAATCTGAGTGTGGTGCTGAGGCTCACCGGGTTTTGCAGCGGGCGACGACGCACGACTCGCGATGCCGGCGGAGGAGGGTGGCGACAGTCCCGTTCAATTTCCTCTCATTTGCTGATAAACCACCGCTTCCTGCTTGAGAGATGCCGCAGGGGAAGACAAACGACCGCGTCGAGTGGTCTTGAAGCCCACCCCCAGTGGTCGGTTGATGCTGTTTCCGACCACTGATTACTAAAACAGAGTAAAAATGAAGACAAAATGATGACAACAACGTGACCGGTGCGATGTGGTAAGTTCCCATGTGATATTTTCATTAAACGACACGAAAATAAAATAAATGTGTTACATGCACATGATATGTGTTCGTTTGTTTATTATTCGTAATATTTTTACTGCCGTTGCTCTTGTAGCTGGCGGCGGATGTGGGGTCCCGCCTCCAGCCACACTGATCTCTTGTGACTCCTAATCTAGTTGCGATACAGTTTTAATACAAGAGCGCGTGTGCAAGGTAAAACCAGACTAATCGTGGACAGTATTGTCTTTCTGGGGACGCAGAAGCATTTTGGTGCCTCCCGAGTTAAAACGCATGGACGCTTCAGACGCTGGCGGCTCGGGAGTAGATTTAAAGATTAAACAATTAGCGTTCGTCGCCTTGGAGAACAGACGGGTTACAACATTCGGTACCTCTGCACAAACCTGCAATACAGTGGAAACAATATCGTATCAACAAATAATTTCCCACATTGAAATGAAGTGGAACGATTTCATTCAGCCGTTGTAGCCCCACCCCCAAAATACATTTTCGTGACGTTTCTATTAAAATATAATTACTAAAAACATCGAGAACGTGAAACACTGTTATATTGTCACATATGAAAAGGTCTCGATCAATAAAAACAGTTTGAGTAATTGATATATTAAAGAATCTTGAAGAAGCCGAACTTGAAAATCACACAGTCGCTGTTTGGCAGCGAGGGGGCGTGGTTTCTGAAATGACGTCGAAAACTCGACAAATGTATAAGAATTACAGAATAGTTTCTAATCATTTTAGTATTTATTCATGAACGCAATGCTAGTGAAGGGTACTATTTGCATCTAAGTTAATTCAATTCTACACACTTAAACAGGTAGGCGGTTGTGCTTTATTTACTTATCTTATTCAGTGTATATTTTATATACCGGTATATATATATATATATATATATAAAATAAATCGATGAGCAACATATGGCCAATTTATCCAGGGCTGCTATATTTAGAGCTGTGGCCTATTTCAAACCTCATTTGAGGGTGCAGATGCGTTTATGCACGAGGGAGCCTCCAGCCAGTGGTCGCCATGGTAACTGTGGGGGTGGTGGTGTTATGTATGCATCGAGAGAGAACTACTACATTCCTGTATCACACATTTCATAACATCGTTGTGTGTGTAACATCCACCTGGATGTGCTGCACTTGCTGCTTGTCGCTCGCCGCGTCCCTTAAGTGCATCCTGGGAAGTGTCCTTCTCTCCATCCATCCGTTTGCATCCTCATTTGCCTCCTCCTCATCCTCCTCCTCCTCCTCAATAGCTCTCCTGAATTATTTAGCGAGGCAGCCAAGGGGGAAGCAATGGAGGTGGCGGTGGGACGTCGTGACTCAGCAACGGCCAGCGTTTTGACGAGAGGGCGCGGCGAGAGAGGGGGGACGCAAATTTGTCTTTAGGTGGATGCCGGTATCTTGAGATTAGAAGTCGAGCGGCAGATGGGGGACAGCTACGTGTATCGGAGACTCCCCTACGCCAGGGGAGGAGAGGAGGCCGACGAGGAGGACGCGGAGGGGAGAGCGAGGATGCCTGAGAATGCCGGGAGACAAATGGTAAACGTGGTGGCGGATGCACCACAATTTGTGTGCGTGCGTGTGTGTGTGTCTTTCCAGTAGTTACCTCCACCAAGGAGGTTTTTATCAGCAGGGCTTTGTCCATTTGCTCTCGATGTCAGCCGGCATTTTATCGATTTGAGTGACGTCCACTTTTCTTCCTCTTCTGGTCGCGCCTTCTGGAATATGAAGCAGTCATATTACACGAGTTTTAGTTGGGATCTGATCCGAATCGGGCGGCAATCTAAATGCAACTTAGAAGCGCTGATGTCAAATCCAATTGGATCAGGATCTGAGCGAGATTGTACGGCAGTGTAAATGTCACTCAGGCACTCCAATGTAAAATGAAGTTTGGTTGGGGTCTGCAGCATAGAAATTCGGAAGTCAAATCACATTGGACCACCATTGGATTCAGAATACAAGCAATGTAAATGCAACAGAACTTCTAATATAAAAATCTAACTGAATCAGGATGAGATCCAGATTGTACAGCAATATAAATGTAACATTTACTACAACGTGTGCGATTGTGTGTAGATGCAGGGCGAGGAGGGCACGGAATGGCTTCTGGAGCTGCTGACGGATGTTCAGCTACAGCAGTACTTATTGCGCATCCGCGACGAACTCAACGTCACGCGGCTATCGCACTTCGACTATGTCAAGAACGAAGACCTGGAGAAAATTGGCATGGGGCGCCCAGGTCAGGCCTCAGACACCCACCCGCTGCGTACCCTGGGCCGTGTATTTTTCACGGTGGTATGCTTCGTCTGTTTTCAGGTCAGAGGAGGCTGTGGGAAGCCGTCAAGAGGAGGCGAGCGCTTTACAAACGCAAATCCTGGATGAGCAAGGTTCAGTACAACCCACAAACACAGTACCTAAGGAGCTCAGTCCGGTTCACATTGCCCCACCTTGTCCAAGTTTGGCAAGAAGGGGAAGGATACTGAACTGGAGTACATATTGCAACACTAAGTAGAATCAGGTTTGATCGGGATCTGATCCAAATAGCACTGCAAAGAATTTGATTAGGATTTGATTGGGATCGTGTACCGAGGTAGATGTCATGTAGAATCCGGAATGTCCGGTTGAATTTGATCGGGTCTGATCCACAATGCACCGAAAGGTAAATGTAACAGACTAGAAGTTATAATGTCAAGTTTTATCAGGACTGGATACAGATTATGTTGATGTAAATATAACATAGAAGCTCGAATGGCAAGTAAATTTGTTAATGTAAAATACGAGCGCTACTGTCATACTGACTTTGATCGGGATCAGATTCAGATTGTGCCGCAATGGGAATGTAACGCAGAAGCTGTTTCGAATCAAGTGGAATCAGGTTCAGATTGTAATTGGCCAACCGACTCGACAGGTGTTTCCTGTGAAGCGTCCCGACGCCGACCCCCAGCCGACCCTCACGCTCGGGGCGACGGCGTCCGGCGGGTCTTCGTCCACAGGGGAATCGGCGGCCTCACTCACCTGCCTTATCCGAGAGGCTGAGCTGCAGCTGTTTGAGCGTCTCGGCGATGGTACCTTCGGGGTGGTGCGCCGCGGCGAGTGGAGCGCCCCCAGCAGTCAAGTGGTGAGACACAAACTTACAATCAGTGGCGGAAGGGAACAACTGCCAAGACTTCATGAGTGGAATTAAGTTGAACATTTTAGGTGCAATGGGAACAGAGCCCGCCAAGGCAAAGTGCAAAAATTTGTAATAGAAAGCCCTTGTAAAAAGATTGTTTTCTATAGATACAACAAGATGGCATCAAAGTACTGCTTTTATCGAAATGAAGCTCCTCCTACTCCAGTACTTTAGCACCATTGTGACGCCAAAGCACTACTTTCATCTAATTGAAGCCGTCCAACCAACTTCAACACAGTTCCTTGGTACTAAGATGCTACAAGATGGATGATCTGAAGCGCCACAATTCAATTCAACATAGTTCCTTGGCATGAAGATGCCAGAAAATGGTGCTAAAGCACTATTTTTAATCTAAAGCTCCTCAACACCTTTTGTCCTTAAGTACATTTCAGTGTGTCTCGTCTGCTCATAATGGACTATGAAAAACAGCAACCAACCCACATTCGTTCATTGATCTGGCAGCTGTCTGTGGCGGTGAAGTGTCTGAAGGCTGGCGTGCTGGAGTCGGACGGGCTGGACGACTTCATCAGGGAGGTGAACGCCATGCACTCCCTCAGCCACCAGAACCTCATCCGCCTCTACGGCATCGTCCTGACGCAGCCCATGAAGATGGTGAGCGCCGCACAACGGGATTCAGCAAGCAAGGGAGAATGCATATCCCTGCAAAGTCAACAAATAGGAACATTGTTTGTTTTTAGTTCAAATGTTCCCGTTGTTTTCGAACCAAAACTGCGGTTCTGCTGTGCCCAGGTGACGGAGCTGGCTCCTCTGGGCTCCTTGCTGGATCGGCTGAGGAAGCGCCAGGGTCACATCCTGATCTCTTCGCTCTGCAACTACGCCGTGCAGGTTTGGTGATGAACTCACTCATTTACCTTCATTCTGCTGCTTTACCTTTTAAACATTTGGGAGTATTTCATTCTTTCCATCGCAGGCAGATGGGCACGCTGTCTTTACTCAGGGTGTCCTTAAAGAGATAAACAAATACTGTATGTATTTCGTATTTTAGCACAACAGAGAGTAATTTTAGGTTCATGGTTCAAAACTCATCAATCAATCAATTTAGTTGCGGGAGGGCGTGCCTGTATATTAAAAAATAAATAAAAAAATAAAAAAGTTCTCAGTGGTGAAAAACAAAAAAATTCTTGCCCACATAACACACTCCTAGTGGTCATATCTAGTACTGCAGCACAACCTGATTGAAAGACTTAGTGAAGGCAAAACTAAAGGGTCCTGCTGTGCAGGTGGCGTGCGGCATGGCCTACCTGGAGCAACGGCGCTTCCTCCACCGCGACCTGGCAGCCCGCAACGTGCTGCTCTCCACCAACGAGACGGTCAAGATCGGCGACTTCGGCCTGATGAGGGCGCTGCCGTCTCACGCCGACCATTACGTCATGGAGGAGGGCCACAAAGTCCCTTTCCCTTGGTGAGATTGGCCACCCTTTTTTTACCGTCATGTACTTCTGGAGAGCACACCTGGCACCGCTCGAAAGGGCCTCTGCTCAACTTCTAATAAAGTTCAGCTGTTCTAGTCCATCTGTTTGGGTGAGACCATCCTCACCTGAAGGGAACTATGCAGGAGTTTCTTCTGCGATTTCCCTGCAGGTGCGCTCCAGAGTCCTTGAAGACTCGCACTTTCTCGCATGCGTCCGACACCTGGATGTTCGGGGTCACTCTGTGGGAGATGTTCACCCACGGGCAGGAGCCATGGCTTGGCCTGAATGGGAGTCAGGTATCGGGAACAATCAAATGAACACATCAAGTGGGAAGACGTCCTGCTCAAAAATCAACCGAACGCTTCCTACGAGGTGACGACTTGAACTTCTCTGACCTCTGGCAGATCCTCCACAAGGTGGACGTGGAAGCGGAGAGGCTCTGCAAGCCGGATGACTGTCCTCAGGACATCTACAACGTCATGCTGCAGTGTTGGAGCCCCAAACCCGAGGACAGGCCCACCTTCGTGGCCCTCAGGGACTTCCTGATGGAGGTGCGGCGACAAGGTTTGGGTGTCTTTGGACTCTTTTTTTCTGCAGTGCTAACGAGGACCTTGTGGCCGTTCAGAGTACGCCTGCCGAAATGAGGGCCCTGCAGGACTCTGCGGAGGACAACAAGCTCCTCATTCAGATGAATGATGTCATCACCATCATTGAGGGAAGGTCAGTTCAGTTATTTCTTTTTTTTATTGTCCTTTTTAGATGCCAGTTATTTTCTGCTCATTGAATCAAGTTTTGCCGACGCACCGTGTCTGTGTTTCCAGGGCTGAGCATTACTGGTGGCGAGGCCAGAACCGGCGAACACTGCGCGTGGGCCAATTCCCTCGCCACGTGGTGACGGCGGTGACCGGCTTATCGGCGGACGACATCAGCAAACCGTTAAAGCACTCGTTCATCCACACGGGCCACGGCGACACCAATCCGCACAGGAGCTGGGGCCACGCAGACCGCATCGACAGGTCGGGATTAGTCGTCAAACTCTTTGATGGGATGAATCGAAATGACAATGGGGCGGCACATCTGATTGACAAGAGGGTGGGATCTGAATCCTCTCCCAGGTACTCCGGTTTGGTCTCAAAATCGTAACTTTGTTGAAGACTCTAAAATTGTCCCAATGCATTCATTCTATGGAGAATTTTATTTGGTTGTTTTTGTTTGTGTCGATTAGATAACCTTCCTTATATTGCCACGATGGGAAAATTTGCAATAGCTATGTTTATGTATCCTGTATATTTATTTATGTATTAAATGCGCCGTCTTGTTCCTATGCAGTTACATAGAATATCCACTAGAGGGCAGTGTTGCACCATAAACAACAATATACCGTTGATCACATTATTAGGTGCACATCTGGAGGTTCGTTGTCAAGAACGGCAGTTTTGTGATCATGTGAATCCTTTCCTTCTTCAGTCTCTATTTGGGGAACCCCATGAAGCCCCCTGATGTCCTCGGAATGGATCATTGCACCTCGAGGCCAACCAAGCTCCCCAACCGGGCCAAGAGTAACTAAACCACCATTTTTTGGCAGCATTTATGTATTTTTTTTTTTTTGGTTAGCCAATTGTCAGACACCAACGAATTTACTTTGACAGAACAACCTCCGCCTCGTCCTCCTCAGCCCGCGGTCCTGCTCAAGAGTAAGTGTCCCGTCGCAGCCCCCATGCTAGGATGGCCGCCATGTCGTGACGCTCAGCGTGTTTGCTCAGAGCCCTTCTACGACTCAGTGATGGAGGACTACGACGAAAACGAGGAAGACGCCGCCGCCGCCCCGGTCGCCGGCACTCGCTCCGGCGCCAAGCGGCTGGGCGTGTCGCTGGGCCTGAAGCTGCGCCCGTGGGAGAGCTGCGGCACCGGCCGGACGGACGCCAGCGAGGTGTCGCTCATCGACTTCACGGACGACAGCTTCAGCTCCACCACTACGCCCTCACCGCTCACTGAGACCTTGCCACTCGACCAGGATGCGCTCAAGGTGCGCTTAAGTCAAGTCGCCGCACCTTCTTGAGTCCTTGAGTGGACTTTTCGTCTCTTGTCCAACTCTATATTTATTCTTATTTGAAATCAAATGCATTTTTATGATTATAGCACTTCACCCCCCCACCACCACAACCTGAGTATCCGATTCCCAAAATCTGGCACGTGTACTCGTCATGACAGAAAATTAAATAAAGAAACAATAAGGTGCTTCACTCTTCTGCACTTTTATGGTTTGGTCATACCTGAATGTATATTTCATCCACCAAAGTCACTGTTACCCCTCACTAAAGCCTTCCCCTGAAAACATCTTCATGTTGAGCTGAAAGACAAAAAAAACAAACAAAAGAAGGTTAAATCTGAGCAAAAACATATTCCGGGATCCCGCTGGGGTCTGTGTTCGCCCCCCTGCCCCACACACATACACACACCTTGCCACCCCCCCACTGTTTGGCCTGGAAATGTCGTAAGGCGCCTTCTTCTACTCGGATGAACACGATGTGACGAGATGGCGCTCATTGATTGGCGTGGCGCTCCTTCACGCTTCGATGCTTCACTTTGTCTCGCGCTATGTGCACGGGTCTTACATCAGCAGCAAAAAAACAAAACAGTAAACCTTGGATGTCCTTTTCGGGGTGCACTGCCTTGTTGCTTGGGGTGCTTTAAATACTCTTGACACTTGACGGGACCATTTGGGGCCCCGGAGGCCCTGCAGAAAGTGCAAACAGTCGCCCTGTAGATTGGACATGAAGGGGAACTAATGGATTTCTAGTGTATTCTATTTCTGACAGCAAAAACGTTATCCTTGGTTTATTTGCGCAATCACCTTGAATGAAATACAGCTAACCCTCGCTGTTCACATTGCCAAGAGCAAATATGCTTGAATAACAGACTCACCCTCATTTTTTAAAATGATTTCTCTCTATTGCAGATTTTCTGTCATTCTCGATAAATCTGGACTATTCTGAGTCCTTATGATGTAATTAAGTGTATATCATAATTTAGGACACGCCTTCCATCCTGGACTGGCCCCTCCCGCAGCCGGCCTACGACGAAGTGGCGGCAGAGCTGCAGGACCAATCCGAGGACCAGGAGGTGCGCTCCATCAACAAGGGGCGGGCTGAAGAGCTCCTGGCCACTCCCGCCCCCGGCGCCACGTTGGCTCGGAACGAGTCGCAGTCGGCCGACCTCTTCCAAGAACTCCAGCGAGAGGTGCCAAATGCATTTATTGGACGCTGAACCATGTTGACTCCATGCTGGCCATCTGTGTCCACTTTGCTTCCTCTTAATTATCCCCCCCCTCCCCCCCTAAGCATTTTAGCTGTTTTAATGTACATGTTACGAATCTTCTTTGTCTGACTCGAAAGGTAGCAAACTCCATCAAGGCCTGAGGGTTAAGACTCGAGGTGTCACGCTGTGCTAATATTAGTTTTTTGTGGCTGACGAAGGTGATGGTGAAGCTCCAGGTTCCCATGGCGACGGGTCGCTCGCTGCCCTCTTCCCCGCTGCCCCTGCCGCTGGCCCCCCTGGCACCTCACCGGCAGATCTGCCTGCCGCCGCCGTCGCCCTCCTCCAGCTCGGAGGACCGGCCTGTTCTGCCACCCCGCAGCCCGGCACCGCCGTTGCGCCACGTCAAACACGGCCCCGCGGCGGGCACCAGCCACCCGCGGCACAGCTCCATCTCCCTGGAGCTGGAAGACGCGCCCCCTCAGCTGCCGCCACGGGACCGAGCCCTCTCCCAACCGGGCTCCCGCTCATCCTCGCCGCTCACTCTGGCACCGCCGCTGCCCTCCACGCCACCCGTGGTGCTCCCTCCGCCACCACTCTCAGTATCCCCTCGTCGGGCCTCAGGCCTCCTGGGTCCTCTACTGTCCTCCTCGGCCTCGCCTCCCAAAATGATACCGTCGTACTTGCCCGGCTCCTCTTTGGACCCTCTGGCCATACACGAGGCTCATGGACCTTCCTCGGCGATTGATGGCTCACAGAACTCCGCCCGCACCCCGTTGCCAGAGCGACCGGCACTACTGGAGAGGTATGATCCGAAACCCTTTGCACCGACTCATCGGAGAGGTGGCAAACTAAGCAAATATGTACACTGTACATTGAAGTGATAATGATTATTGATTAATCATTTTAATTTTGACCACAACTAGGAGAAACACGCCAGTAAATGCCGGCTCTACCTTAAAAAAAAAACGTATATAACCAGTGTGAAAGACGGCTTGTGTCACACAGTGCAGTAGTAGAGTGTGAAACAGGCAAATTCAGATTTGTGCCGTTACAGCGCACGCAGGTGATATTTTGAACCGCAGGTCGTGTAGATGTAGAAAACAAAACATCAACTCTCCCAGCGCAGGAGTCACTCGATCCGAGCGCTGCTTGACTGACCGGCTGGGATATTCCAATTTTTAGATGAACCTAAAAATATACTCGCACCTTAATCAAGAGCTGAAAAGGTCAAGAGGTCACCTGTTAAGATGACAGTGCATTTAAATTTGAGGCTCATCCCAAAACCAAATAAGCCCAAACATTTTGTGAGTGGCATCGGTCAGCCTGCAGGCATAATAACAAAAACAAATGATTGACTCACCATCTAACTGAAAGATTGAATTTTCAATAGATAAGCGGAATCTGCTAAATGTCCGCTGCAATAGCGTCTATTTAATCTAATTGTTCTTGGTTATCAGATACGGAGCTGCCAATATGGCAACGGTCAAACCCATGATTCAGCATCCCGCCAGAGCCAAGCCCAACTCCTCCTCCAACAACAACACCGGGCGCGCTGCGACCGCCCCCGCGCAGCAGGAGCTGAGCGTCGCACAGGTGAGAAACCGAGCGCCGGGATTGTCCTGGCTTGCTGAATGATATGATTGATTGACTGGATCTTCATCAGATCCGAGAAGCCGTCCACGGTGTCACGCTGGACGAGTGTCAGGCCGCCTTGCAAGCTCACCAGGGGGAAGTGCAACAGGCCATCAACCACTTGAAGGTACTGCCTCACACATGGTAGCTTTACAGATGCCATGTGATGATTTTATTTTTGTCTGATGACAAAGGTGGAGCAGTTGTTCCGTGTGGGCCTGCGCTCTCGACGCTCCTGCGAGGCACTACTGCGGCGCTGCCAGTGGAACCTGGAAGAGGCCAGCTCGCTCATGCTGGACACGTACGGACCACACTGCAACAGGTATCACCAATAGTTTTTTCCCCCCCCCCCTCCCCCCTC